CCAGTTCTGCAGCCCCCAGCACAAGAACAATGTGGACATGTTGGAGTGTGTCCAGAGAAGAGCCACAAGAATGATTAAAGGGCTGGAGCACTTCTCCTATGAGGACAGGCTGAGAGAGTTGGGGCTGTTCAGCCTGGAGAAGAGCTCCAGGGAGACCTTATAATAGAGACCTTCCAGTACCTGAGAGAAGCCTACAAGAAAGCAGGGGAGGGACTATTCACAAGGGTTTGTAGTGACAGAAGGGCTAAGGGCTTCAAGATAGAAAAGGGTAGATTTAGGAAGTTAGATGTTGGGAAAAAGTCCTACAATATGAGGGTGATAGATCACTGGAATAGGCTGTCCAGAGAGGTGCTGGGGGCCCCATCCCTGGAGACATTCAGGGTCAGGCTTGATGAGGCTCTGAGTAACTTGATTTAGTTAGAGGTGTCCTTGCTTATAGCAGGGGTGTTGGACTAGATGACCTCTGAAGGTCCCTTCCAACCCAAACATTCTATGATGACCTCCCAGAAACCTATCTGAATACCTGATCACTGACTGACAGTTTTGCTGAATGTAAGATCTCTGTCTTTCAGTACAGTCTTGGCTAAATTCTCAGAGGTAACATGCACATGTGTTGAATTCCACAACTGTGTGTGAGAAATAGCTTCCATTTTCATATGGGCATTTTTTACAAGTTTTTTCAATACAATCAGTATAAGAATTCACAGGTGACAGAACATCATTCCTTCAAGTAAGACAATACTTGTCATTTGTCTGTTACATACGTTATGCTTATAGACAGTGGGTAGAGTTAGATAAGACAACTTCAGAAAAGTCATCTATCTTTGAGAAAGATTACTTGAAATAGGATATTCATCACAGACCTCGTGTCCACATCCAAGCTGACTCCCATTGCAACTGATGTGGGTTTTCCCATTGGCTCCAACAAGAGAAAGGATCAAGACTGAAACACCTACAGGTAACTAATGTCCAGGACCTCCATGGCCTCAGAGACCAGGACCAGACACATTTAGAAAGTGTCACAACTACATGAAAGTGATTTGAAAGGCTGCTCTCTAAGCACCAGAGATATACAGGTCACCCTGAAGAGTATTTTCTTCTGAGTTGATACAATAATCATAGAATCACTATGGTTGGAAAGGACCTCTAGGATCATCAAGTCCAACCTTCAAATAATTTGTCTGTATCACAATCCATCTCTATCGAATGAACATATAGGCCGAGGAGTGTTATGTCTCCTAGCTCCTGGAACTGCAGAGCACACTAACTGCACCCCTTCAAAAAGCAGAAGCTTCACTTGTTCCTCACTTCTCTGAGAATGAGCCCTGGATAGTTAAGAAGTAGAGTCATGCACCTGGGCAAGTTTCTCCTGTGTGAAACCATAAGTGTGGGAGGGTTCAGTCAAAGAGAAAACTGAGAGAAGTGTAACGGCATTGTAGTGAATAGTAATGCAGTGTGAGAAGGAAGGTATCACTGAAATTGAAAATGGGCTCAAAGAAAGAAGGACATTAAAATATTCACTCTGTTCATCTAGTATTTTGTTTAATTGTATTTTGAACTCGTGAGAACAGGATCTTGTCTTCATAGACAGCTGTAAGGGAATTTTTCTGTCTGTCTTGTATAATAATAAAAAGATTGGCTTGTTTGTTTTAAAATACATGAGTAGATTTGGTATTAAGGCCCCATTTAACTGTAAATTACACACACTGGTGAAATTTTACAAATAGCAAAAGCAGTAGGATACAAAACTTTCTGTTTCTCTGTTTGCTTCTTTTTTTTTAATTTTTTTTTTATTTTTCAAAGTCATTCATTTTCACAATATGCCCCAGTTGGACGTTTTGTGCAGAAAGCTAAGCCATCTGCCCTGTTTCATTCTCACTAAAAAGTCCAATGCAGTTGATGAATGTGACTTCACAAGTAATACACAGCAGTGCTGTAAGAATCCTGCACCTCTGTGGAGAGGTCACAAAGTAGATGGAAAATTAAAATGTCAGCTAAAGGAAACTGCATAGGAGGATCACATCTGTGGGCAAAGGGTAGAACGTGGGAAGAGCTCAAGCATTACTGCTGCTGGCTGAGCTCTGATCCATGTCACTCACGTGTTGTCTCCATGATGCTTACGGCAGGGCCCTCGATCTCCTGAAGCTGTGTGTGAACACTGATTTTATATTCAGTTCCAGGCATCAGCTCAAAGAAACAATGTCTAGGTGTCCCTCCACCAAGATTTACTTCTCTCTTTTTGCCATCTGGAATTATAAAAGAAAACATTAAAGCATTTCTTTACTGTTTTACTGAATAATGTTGTTTAAGTCTGAAATAAGAAGGAGACATGACAGAGATGGAGGGTAAGTGGTTGACGTAAATTAGAAAATTACATGCTGCCTTATTTCTGGAAATACAGCACATGAAGAGGTCTAACATTTCATCCTTCTTATGAAGTAGGAGCTGATGAATGTGTCAGACATCTGCAGCAAAAAAAGAATTTCACCCCATGCAATGAAGTTAATAAAAATCACTGACACTGTCATCAATGGGCTTTAAAACAGGTCCTAAATATCAGAGTCTAATGAGGAATTCTTGGATTATGTAATTCTACAGCATTCTTTGTCTACAGTTATCAGAGTCCACAGTATGCTTAGTAATTGCAAGAGAGACTGAAGAACTGTGTTCCAGCTTCCACTAGTAACAACTTAATAAATTGGTTAAGGAGTAGTATTTACAGGGTTCCAAAATTAATTCTGCTAAATTCTGAATTGGAAAACTTGTTGACCATAGAAAAAGCCCATGTACTGGAAATAGCATAGGGCATAACCTTATAATAAGAAGAAAACCTTCAGTGCAATTCATAATCTGTAGCAGAAATAAGTGAAATACAAGCAGCTGAATTCACATTTTACAGAGTATATACAAAAAATGCCAAACAGTCATTCATTGCCAAGGCAAAACCACCTGATGCTTATCAGGAGGTGTTACATTAGTATAAAAGCAATTGAATGCTGCCTGAATGAGACACCCACCTAATCTGACAATCAAAACTTGTCATGATAGATGTTAATAAGAAGCAATTGTTCACACTTCAGCTTGTTCTGCTTACATTTAGGCTCCCCTGGCTCAGTTAAAACAGTTCTGACAGTTCTATATGATGAAAGCAGAATGTTGGCTAGATCCCAGAAGAGAAGAAAATCTGTGCTATCTTGTGCCAGCCAAGATCTCTGCTTTCTGAGCAGCTTGTCTGAATTTGATTCCTTCAAATAAACCACGTCACCACTCATTCGCCATTCCATAGAAAGGTTATTGGGTTCTTTTGCAATTAAATTAGTATTATTTTTCATTGTACCTTTGATAGATCCCATTATATGTTATTAACTGCACTTCTCCCAAGTTATCCAAGGTTTTAAATTGCCACCATTCAAAAGATAACTGGTGTCTACTGGGGCTAAGAGAGGTAGTGTGCACAAATAGTGACTGCTCCATAACCTCTTCTGGCTACACCTGAGATTCAGTGAGATGAAGAGGCTGCAATTCACCTTCTACACAGTCAGTGCTAAAAGCATCAAGATAGCATGTGTTGCCACATGAAAATATCTTCTGTTTAACCAGATGAGCAACATTACTACAAGCTATAGTTTACCATCAACAAAAGGCAAACAGACAAAACTGACATTGTTCTGAGTCTGTAGGCATGGCCTGGAT